CAACAGCGACAGCATTGTCGAGTATAACCGATGCCTCTCGCCGTGACCACGTGCATTTTCGCGACGCCATACTAGCTTCTTCCGCAAGATTGCTTGTGGCCTGTGAAACGTTTGAAAGTATACAGCATGTTTGTAAAGTATACTGGTAATTATCCGAAGCAAGACTATACGTGTGTATAATGACGCTAATTAACGGCTCAAGCCAGCAAATCACGCCGGAAATATAAAGCCGCGTGTCGCGGCTTTAAACCACACTGCACGTGCCTGTGGCGCTTTCAGAAAGGCCAATCACACATGTACTGTATCTATGAATCATAGGCTTCTTTGTACTGTATGAGTCGTTTATCTTTGAGCACATCTTCGCACAGCCTCCCCCCAACCACATCACGAATTAACAAACTGCAAGGATCTGTACTGTATCTATGAACCAAACACTACAGACTTTAGTACAGGTCAGAGTCGTTTGCTTTTGAGCATATCTTAGACCAGCATCCTGATCTCATCGCAAGATAACATATTGTACGGATCACAAACCTGCGCTCGCAGCAAAGGAGCATTGTTGTATTTCATGTACGAAACTATGCTACACTCCGCGCCAAAATATTACGGCCACCCACATTTTCCCCTGTAACTCCGTCAATTTTACGAGTTACGCCACGCTATTTAGATATATTGCTTGCACTGTAAAAATATTTCGGAGTGCTAGTATGTGAAATTTGTACGGGTGATATTGAATGGGATGGGGCCCCATGAATGAAGCTCTGGAGCTTCATTCATGTATACAGCTACAGGATCTCGGTTTCAGAGCAGCTTTCTTGGATACAAGCATTGTGGTTTGACGATTGCGCGCATTATATAACACCGTATGAGCGCTTAGGGCTACTGCTCCAAAACACCACTTATTTTGACATAAGTATTATTATAATAATTCAGGCGGAATTAGATCTATAAAAATGCCATCAACCCACATTTTAATCCTTAAGTTGTGGATTCTTGCCCTACCCGCTGACCAACCTGACCGACGGAAATACGCTTGTATACAGACGAAATGGCGGCACTCTAAAACTGGCCGAATGAGACAACTCATTATTAACATGGAATTAGCTGACCATAGGGCAAAATTAAGGCGGAGAAGAGAAAAAAATATGCAAAAAACAAATGTGTCAGATTGTTTTGGACGATTAGTACTCGTTAGGTACTATACATTGTACTGTATCTAGCCGCCACTGTTTCCTGAACAACAGGTTCATTACGGAATTCGCCGCCCTCTCACCCAGTGCGTTTCCGCAGAGTTCCGTTTGATCAAGAATGCGATTTTTCTACGCCTTAGCAGCGGTAGCCGTCTTCTTCATCGACAGTGAGGTTTCACCGGTTGCGGCAGAAACAAGTCTGATCAAGTTGAAACCACTCAAAGGAGCTCAGGTTGTAGCAACACCCAACACGAACAAGCGTTTCCTACGTCAATACGCTGAATTTGAAGATGAGGACAGCGAGGAACGAATCAAGACGGGTACTGTAGTCCTTGACACCACGAAGAAGATCGACGACTTTTTTGGTATCGAGACTATCAACAAAGTTCTCGATCCAAAGCAGATCGACGAAGTGCTGAAAGGAAAGAAGCTTTTTGGGTGGTTGGATACGAAGACATTTGACGATGCCCTTAACGGGGACCTGATGCAGAAGAGAGAGATATTCGCGTTTTGGCGTGCGAATAGATTGAATCCGCGAACATTAACCAATTTCATGAATCTTCATCCCGCTCTATAAAAAAGTACAGATTTGTCTACGAGGCTTATGAGGGCTACATCAAGATGGTAGCAGCGAAAAAACTGTCTGGCATGAAGAGGGCAAGAGAAACGAATTAGATACAGGGGTGTACCCCTTGTATGGACTACTGTGCGCTGCATCAGCAAAACTCACCCACTGAGAAGCGTGTTGGACTTTTGTGTTGTTCGCTAAGTGGAGTAACTTTTACGGATTAGTGTTTCACTTTGATCGGACGCCATCGATTTACACGAAGCCTGGCAGCAAGTCTGTACGCTGGATAGCCAATATCAAGCAGCACCCATGCATTTATCTTAAGAGTGAAGTGGCTAGATGTAACTGAGGAAGAAAGCGAATTTGTGGTTGCAAAGCAATACAAGTTACGTTACTCATAGCCCAACAACTCTCCTGTAGTAGTGGAAGATGAACCACACGACACGTCCTTTGAACAAATCACGTTGTTTCTTGCTAAAAATTTTATTTCTGTCTTGTTCAGTAACCCACGACAAAGACGATCAAGAGCGTCAGTGTATTTTGGACATGTCACCATCACTTGTACAGCAGCTAAAGGTCTGTTATTTTCTTCATCGCCTAAATGCAGTTCTCTGAAGTTTATTTCAGAGTATCTCTCTAACGCCAATTCGCTCGCGTACACTATAATACTAGAGATGTAGGAAACACATTGCGCACGTACAATCACTTTAAAATCTAAAAGACCTCCACCAATATTTAGCTTTAGATGGAATTTAACTTGGTAATTCTTTACTCCAAATTTACCGAGAATCGTTTCAATGGACATCTTCAAGCCGTAGATTATAGAGACTTTGATGGTAATTCCATTACAAAGGCCTACATTAAAAAAAACTTGAGGTTTGATTAATTTGGTGGATGTCACTTTGGCTCGCTCTAATCGAGAGACCTGCGTGAAGAGTTTGTGAATGACGGTACAGTATGCACCGATCGACAAGCTTGGCCCAACAAATTTTCTAGTTTAGTGATATTTACCGGAAGGTTGCACATTTACGTCTACAGTGGTCACCTTACTCAATGAAATTCGTAGCCATCTTCTTTGGAAGCACAGTTACACCAGGGCTGCCGATTATGGCATGTTTTGTTAGCAAGAACGACAACACTAGATAAATAATGGTAGGCAGCTAGCAGAATCATCTACATAAATAATGGCATGTAGAAAGTTCAACACATACATAATGACTTATGATGGTGGTTAACTTCGGAGACTATCAATGGTACCTACGTCCCAGTAGCTTGCGTTCTGACGGAGAAAGAGGATCTGCTCAAGCGTCGCTGGTTGAAGGCTGTTGCGTTCTTGCCCAAATGTCGTCCGGGCAATACTAAAAAACCTCTCCACGATGTTCGACGTCGGAGGGATACTACCGATCAGCACGTACTTCTCCTCTTGCTGCGCCAGCTTCCTGCGCTTTTGAAGGCGCTCGACGAACGATGAGCTCTCTTCGTCGTCCGATTCGGGCGCGGCTGCAGCACTTGCAGCGAAAGGCTGGAGTACTGCCTTCTCCGTTCTTGTCAGGCGGTTAGAGTTGCCTCGCAAGACACGGACACAGCCCGATTCAAAGTCCGGGCTGTGGACAATGTCAGCTCGTGGCGCTGTAGGATAGATATCGTTAGTTTTCACAGCATAGTTAGCCGAATGTGTAACTTACCAAGGTAATGCGCGTACTGCGGCTTCATAGCGATGAGACCGTCGAACCATTCGCGCACGTCTAAGAGATCAGCGCTGCCTTGAAGGGCCTTCGATACGGATTCGACATTGGCGAGCTCCTTCAGCAGCTTGCGCAGGCGGCGGTTGCACGCCGGACCAGGAAGAAGCTCAGCGACGTCATCGTCATCCTTATCGAGGTGCTCGAGAAGCTTGAAGTAACGGTGCAACATTGCAAACGTTGAACTCCACCGTGTGTCCTGCCGAATTACCGGGCGGAGACTTGTTTTAAGCCTACGAATTATCATAAAACACCACAGATTATCCTTATTCGTAGGAATTATAGATAAAACCACAGAATAACAGCATGGGTACCTCAGTTTAGCCGACTGCGTTAGCGTCCGAAGCTTGATCATTAGCCCGTGAACTGCGGCAAGATCAGCCTCGTGACTTTGAAGATCTTGTTGGACCGCCCGATTAAGTCGGTGCGAAGCGCACCCGATTAAGGGAACGCCGATGAGCGAAGCTAAGCGCTGATTAACGCTGCAATTATCACCCACGACAAATAAACACTGGTCAATCTGTTTCCCAAAATCCCTCGGCAGCATATCCGCTAGAAACTCTCTGTGCGCGAGGGCAGAGAGATCGTCATCGGCCTCATTCATCAGAGGAGCCATGCAGATTAAGGGAGTCTTCACCTTGCCACCAACCTCGTAGCAGGCGAAGACTCCAAGATAGTGCTCAGATATATGGGTCCATCCATCTAGAATGAGCCCAAATTGGTCTGGCATCTCAGAGGCAATTGACCTCTCCACTGCCACAGACACGCCTTCGAGCGCAGCGCGCAGCGTCTCGACGCATACCGGATCGAGTGTCGTATAGCTAAAATCAATAATAAACAGTTAAAAATAATTCTTTGTTAAATTGTAGTCGCTTTTCTTACCGTCTTGTCGCTCTATTCTCATAAAAAGTGAGAGGTAGATTGCTCGTAACAACCCACATGAGCCAACCGTACAGGTTTTGAGAAGACCGCGACACGTAGCTGAGTAGCGAGCCGGTTTCAGATGTCGTGGCCTCTAGCATCTCGGCCTCAAAGTTGGGATGCTCATGTCTAACGTGCTGCATGAGGTTAGCACGCCCGTTTCGACGGGTCTGCTTTCTAACCGTGCCGCAACGACATCGGAAATACTCGAGAATTACCTCGTCGAAGTCATCGCGGCACGGCTGGAAATAAAACCCAGTGACTTAAGCTGACGTGAAACTTGGTCTGGCGGTGATCGCCATAGCTGGTGTAGAGCAGTAGGGGCTTGTAAACGTGGGCGTGAATTGGGAAATGGAGAACAGCTACAGACAAAACACACCCCAGTAAATGGTTGGTTCTGCGGGGGTCATAATTTTGCTGTGCACCTTGCATACATTATTCTTTTAGCTAGGATCGCCACATACATTATGACATTGTACGGTCCATCGCAAAAACATACATTTATTTATGATATGTATGGGCATTACTGTATAGCATTTGTGTAGCCGGACATGCAAAAAATGCATACAAGCAAAAAACTGACCAGTGAAGTTAAAACCTCAATTTCAAATTCAATACTTAAGCAAATCCCATATGGCAACGTTACCTACTCGACATCTGCTTGAAGCCTGTCAATTATGTCGTCGGAGTCGTCAATAGTTTCTTCAACAACATTCGCCAGTTCCAATGCCTCCACCAAGTCGTTTTCCGGTTCTACAGTCTCAGTAACGGCGACAGCAGCACTGCTTCCGACCTTATGAAGACCTGAAAAGCCGCTTCGAATGACACTGCTGCCCAAACTACGCCATGAGCTCATAGCCCATGTGATTGCATCTTTTCGTTTCGGAGCGACTAGCTGGAAAGGGGATTGCTCACGCTGCTCGTGGTGCGCTCGGAGCTGTTGCTGTAGTTCATTGACCCACTGACGTCGAAGCCGCTGTTTGAATGGACGAAACCACGAGATGTCTGCCGGTTGGCAGACAGAGGTGAGCCCTGGGGGAACCGGCATTAGATGCACACTTAGGTTTTTGGCGTGTTCTTTAACTTCATCTGTCCAATGGGCCGAAAAATCGTCCAGTAGAAGAAGGACTGGCAAACATTCCTCGCGATTAGCGAAATAATAGTCTAAAAAACGAATGGACAGGTCCGATGTCCACCAAGCAGACTCATTGCCATAAATCTGGGCACCCACAGCTTCAGAAAGTGGAGCTATCTCTTTCCACAACGTGTCTCCGAATCCGTTTTGCTTGACCGTGTTGTAAGCTGCCTTTACTTCCTTTTTTGATGGTTTGGTCCTTACAACGAAGAAAGGGTCGTACTGCTTACCGGTTGAGTCCGCCATAAACATACCCGTAAAACGTTCTTTGCCTTTTCCGCCGCATCTGACCCAGACAGTTTTCGGACCACGCTTGTTAATAGTTCTCTTAGGTAGGTATTCAAAACACACACCGCTTTGGTCGGCGTTAAATATTATGTCCACACCTAGTTCAATCTTGGTTTTTGCAACTTCCTCCCAAAATGCCTTTGCATCAGCCTCCATGGCCTCCGGCTTCTTTTGGCCTTGTCGAGTTTTAGCGCGTAGACTTAGATTATGACGACGGAGAAACCCTTGCTGCCATGTCCAACTAGCTTCGAATATACCATCCGGGACCTTTTAGTCTTCGGCTATGGTCTTGGCTTTAAGCTCCAGCATTAGCCTGGATACAGAGACGCCTTCCTCACGCAGTGACTTAATCCACTCGGTAATAGCTTCTTCACCTGCAGCAGAGATTGTAGTTGCAGTGCCTGCACCTCGAAGAACCTTCATACTGGCCTTGGTCGAGGACGTGCAGACAGATTCAATACGAGATCGATCTTTAATCCACTCGTAAATTCTTTTGCGTTTGTTTTCTTGCTTTTTTGCTGATAGATGGTCGTAAAACTTGTCTAACGTGGCGGGCATTCCGTTCGTGTCGTGAAAGGTGATCACCTCTAACCGCTTTGCGTACGAGTCGACCTCTCTCTGGTAGCTACTTGGCTGGCGTCCTCGCCCTCCGGGCGCACGCTTGCGGCCGCGCGTCATTGCGTTCTGCCTAATTATGGCTACACAACAAAGAGCTGCGAAATGTACATAGCCCAATCAAAAATAGGTTAATCCTGTCCGCTTGAAGAAATGATCAATGGTGTCATTGTAACAAGGTTTTTCTGTGTACATTTCGCGTTTGTGATTGGCTATTACGAGTGTCCGCTTGAACAAATTGTCCGGCTACACAAATGCTATACAGTATTATTATTGCCATGTTATTTTCGGCAGCCCTGAGTTACACCACTGGTTTGTCATTTTAGAGAGCAATAGAGTTGTGGTAGCACAAACACTAGCGTATTTCTAAAAAAAATCGTGTTATGCTCCTTTTCACTTGAGGCATTGCAGGTATAGTACAACTTTACAGCCTGACAATGACAATTAGTGCTTCGCAAACGTCCAATCACCTGCAGTCAGTATTATGAATTTACTGAGAAAAAAATCAAAAACTTACTTCGAAGTATTAACCAAGAAAAAGAGTCACCGAGATTCATGAATTAATGTATCCTCCACGAAATGGTTGAAACGCGTAATCGAGCTTTCCCAAGCCGCAACGCCCACTTCAATGAAGCTTCGTGGTACTCTTCGTACTCCAACGGCGTATGCATCGTGACTAGCTGTCGACTGTCGATGTGACAGTATCATTGTCGTTGGACCGAGATCGGACGGTATTCCATGTTGTACAACCAACCGAGTCGTTTCTTGAAATGAGATGGGGATATCTGCCACTGGTTCAATGAGTCTCTTGAAAATAAAAACCGATCGATCTTGTTCGACATATTTCCGGCCAACATTGCGCATAATGACACGAACATGGACACTACCCGCAGTAAATGCACTGCACATACTCTGCTTTAAAATATTATCGCAGGAGTCAAAATGCTGTAGCCAAAATAAATAATTATGCGTCAGATACACATATTTTAACTAAGAACAAAGGCAATGACGCAGACTACACCTGAACGAAAGCAGGCTTGGGGCTTTGTGGGTCTTCCCTTCCCAGACAACTCCAGATCGCACTATCTGTGTCTTGCAAACCAAATGGGACAGCGTAGCAGTCCGAGAACTCCACAAATTTCCCTTCCGCTCTGCTATTCGGTGTCGTATTTTTCCTTCCTGGGCATGTCATGTCGTACATCCCAATTTTTTCGAAAAAAGCATCCACGCCGGCGTACATCTCGTCCATCCCCTGCAACAAGTCATGAAACACTGCCTCATTGTCCGTCGGCATTGTGACTCCTCTCGCATCCACCCCATAACGTCTGCACAACTCGATCGAAGACCCAATAATCTGACAAAAGAATAAGATTAAACTTAAAAAGAAGATAAAAAAACAAAAATATCGAACCTCGTTCCGCAATCGTCTCTTGAATCCTTTCAGCAGCATCTTCGCCTGCCACACTTTCTGTGTCATGTCGTCTTTCAGTCTTTTATTCTCCTCTTCGCTTTTCTTCCGTCGCGCTGCTTGTCGTCCACAAATTTCCTCCCATGTCAACACACGGTCCGAAATTCCATTTAGCAGCGAGTCTAGCTGCGTTTTAGCACCAACAAGTCGCGTTGTCTTCCTCATTGAGTGCTTAAGTTGCTGTAACTCGGCACTCAGATGCTTCTCCGCCTTCCGCAGCATGAACAGCTCATCTCGGCGCTGGAGGCGCCACGAATTGCGCTTGGAGACACGCTGCGGAGTGAGTGGAGACTCGACCATGTTCGACGGGATAACATCCACGTCCTCGGCCATATCACAACCCTCCAGTAGCGATAAAGCCGTGGCCTCATCCAGCGCGAAGGTTTCCGCCATGATCGTTACTGTTACAACCCCGGGCCGCACATCATACTTACACCATGTATCCTGTTCTTGTCGTTTGAGTTGCTGGAAGAAGTGCAACATACAGCAACTCAACCTAGTTATTTTGACCGATCATAGTGTTGATCATAATTTAAGTAGGCTTGACTCGAATTCTGGTATCTGGAGGTCCCTAGATTCTTCCTTCTAAACTGTCCGAGTGGATTATGGATGGAGGATTGACAACTGAGTGGCTGATGCACCTGGCTGTGGCACGTTGTTGGCCACGAAACAGTGTACTCATCACTTGACCACGAATGTTTACAACGTCGCTCAGTGTTGGTCGTGTTAAGTACGAATTCAGTCTTTCAAATCGAGCAGCAGTGAATCATTCCTTGTGCTTCAGGCACCAAGCTGGTAGAGAGCTGCCACCAACCTCGCGTTTGGTTGTGAGTGGAGCTGACAATCGCAGAAGGACTATTGTAAATGGGATAGCTTATCTGGTCGAATTAAGACCTGACCTGGCGGAACTGAAACGTACACTTGCTAAAGAGGTTCGTTCTTCTCTGGCCATCTACACGTTAAAGCTAGAATCTGTCATTGGAGGGCTGTACGCGTCAAATGCTACAACCGACTTCATGTTGCGGTGGTAACGGTATGACGGATAGTGTAGCGTTATACACGTAAGACTCTTTTGGGTCGACGGGTGTTAATGCACTACATAGTTAGAAAACCAAGCACACTATGATGACTAGACTTTAAATTTGAGCAACACCGTTAAATCAGGTCGTCTGTTAGTGACTGAATGCTGGTGGTGGACGGAATTTCAGATTCTCCTGCACCAGCTACCATCAATTATTTTGCTGTCCACCTTGCACGGAAAGCCTTCCCATTATAACCTCTACATAAACTTGCCAGATACACAGCGTCACAAAGCATACCAACACAAATCCTTTCGCACATGGTTCGAGATGCCGAGATCCTGCGACGATCCTCCCGTCGTAAGTTGTGAGCTTGAATGTCGGATTCGACGTGACACCTTATTCCGAAGTCAAACCTTCTCCAAAGTCTTGTACAGAATCGTATCCAAGGTTACTTAATAATGTCAACTAAGTCACATTTCTTCCTGCACAAATCAGTTATAATGACTGCATTTACTGCGTGCCCGCTCACCTCACAAGTGACCCGAAAAGGTAGAACAAAAGAGTCAGAAGTTGGCCATACTAATCAAGCCATGTGGTCATCATTCGCTCCGTATGGTCCTGATTAAGTTCAGCTAAGTGGAAATTAATGCCAGGGCTATCTCTTTCGTAATTTAAGCAGAGTATGTGCTCGATTTGCTCATGTCCTGATGATCAGAAGACCGTTCATTTTCTATTTGCGTTGACTGCTCAAGACTCAAAGTGCCTTGATGAACACTGACGAGTTAAATGCGCTGGAGGCAACGTTGGCCTTCTTTGACACCTGTGACGACGTTGTTACGGAGTTCTCCTCTGGCCACAGCAGCGATGAGAGTAGCCACAGTGTGCACAACATGTCAGCGGAGACCATCACAGACGTGGCAGTAGGACTCCTCACTAACAGCAGCAACCCTCGTGGACACGTCAGTGCTGCGGCAGAGGAGATCGTTCGGGTCAAAGCCAAGCTAGAAGTTCCAGGAAGAAATCGGTCTCGAGACCTTCAGAAGCTGGAGCTGCTTCAGCTGCGCGTGGAGGCTGAAGCTCTGCAACAACGAGTGGAAGAACTGCAGTTCTTGAATGGGGACATCGAAAACCCCCTCACAGCTCTAATAACGGACACTTCAAGCTGGTCTCAGCGATCCGATGAAATACGGCGTGGTGCCTGGCAAGGAATGGCAAAGAGACAGAAGAAGCTGCGAAAAGAAGCGGAATCCGAAAATAAGCAACTTCGGGGTCTCGTCGAGAGTCAACTGAAGACTGTCAAGACACTCAAGAGGTTATTTTACAAGCAGGGAATGGCGAAGGTTCGTCTGGTCTGTTATACACTATCACTTGGCTTAAACTGACGTGATGGTATCGTTTTTCGTAGATAAACCCGGGCTTATCTCGTGGTCTTAACGCTAGCATCATTTCAGACGGCCCTTCTCAAGAGTACAAGGTGCTAGAGAAACTGAGTCGCAACCTGAACGACTTGTTTTCCGACACCGATAGCGTATTTGAGTCGAATGGTCTTAGAGCCATATCGTCTCCATTTTTACAGGTCAACAAACAGCCACTGTCTGCTGCCAACACGAGGATTGACTTCCTTAAATGTGATGTGCTCCCATTCGAGTATCGCACCGTTGCAAAGATCTTCGCGGATAAAATGGCGTCGAACTTTGAATCGGAGGAAGACAAGCACATTCCGGTAGGTACTGATCCTTCATATTACTAAACTTATTATCCATTTGATCGATCGGGATGTGCTGATTGATATCACTTGTTTTGTTTGTTAGTCTAACCTGAAGGAGAATGTGGTGGCACGAGCCACGACGCTAGAGCTAGAGCAATTAAAGATCCAATTTCGCTTTACAGGGTACAAATACGCTGAAGTCAAGCGAGAAGTCATCGTGCTTTCTGGCCAAAACAAGCTTCTGGAAGCGTTCGGAGTTGCGGTTGACGGGATCAGATACCAAGAAAAATCTTGGTGTATATTGTCGGAGATGTCACCGGGTGTCTGCCTCATACAATTGTGTATTAGCGTCACACTGGAGGCGAAGCCACTGGTGGACGGTCGTCGCGGGTTTGTCAACAAGCTGTGCGAGCTGTTGGCTGGTTTCAAACAAGATATGTTTGATTCAGTACAGCAGGAGGTCGAGCGCGACCTCCTTCGAGCTAGTTAGTGATATGCTTGTCTAATGACCAAATTTGTTATTAAAAGACATTGTCCGCCTAATATCCTGCTCTACTTTAACACACTTCCGGAGATACAACCTTAGTCCGCTCCAAATATAACTCTACTTTTGACTCAGTTGCTGTGTGCTGTGTGTGCGTGCTCTTGACTGACGTAACGTTTAAGTCACGGAGTTGTGCTGTGTGTGTGCTCCCAGGACTGACGTGACATATCGATGGTACGTCAACATATATATCAAAATACCATATCCAGGTCGTCATGTTACGTACAACATGTACTAGTATTATATTAGTTAGCGCTTTTCTATCGGACTCAACCAAAGTCTTCGATGTATCATGAAATTTGCAGATTAGGCGTTGTTTTTGATACTAATCATTTGCAACAGCTGTTTCTTTCTCTCAGGATGGTACCACATGTCGGCAGGATACAGTTGATATGTACTAGTAAACAGTGTACGCATCAAGCGAACGCACCAGACAATTTACACGATATTTGGTCCGGATATCCCGTCACTGGTGAGCTGTCGTTATCATTTTCAATTTGGACACAGGAAGGTATTTACATTCTTCGGAAGCGATGAACGGTTGCACTCTGTATCCACCCAACAGCCAGCTCTTCACCGATGACGTGATTGGTAGTGTCGTACAGCGCGCTTGGATGTCTAATGAACGTATTGAAGATGAAGAAGGCGACAGTTTCGAGCGACGCGACGATTCTCAACTCCCGTCAAAATCGCAATACTCACGGTTAAAACAACGTGTGGAAGATACTACATCCATCCCAGTTAAACCAGCACCATCGATGGAGAACAAAAAGACACGAGGCCAATTTGAATCGTTCTCACTTGGAAATACCGAGGACTCTGTCGTGATCAAGCCGGCTGCGACCGGAGAAGAGCGCCAGCGTGAGCTGCGTCGAATGCGACAGGTACGATACAGGAAGAAGAAGTACGACTTGGCACGGCGACTTGAAGAGGGCACGAATCAGCTGCGAGAGGAGGTGAACGAGCTCGAGTTGCGACGCCGCGCCATTTCTGTTGCTGTTCCGACGGACAAAAGCGCTTGGGATGTCGCGCTCAAGTATTTTCAAGTCTTCCGATTTGGTGTTCGACAGTCGGTGGCGGACTCTGTGGCACCGTCGGATGCTCAGCTGAACTTCCTGCTGTCGAATATGAGTGAGGACGTGGTTTTCAATTCTAGATGCGGTGCAGAAGCAATTATGCAAGTGTGGAGATGCCAAAGTCTCTGGCTCAAAGACTTCGAATTGGAGTTGAGAGGTGTGAACAAACATTCTGGTAACACTCTGAAAGCCACCATGACAACAAGTTTTATCGTCAGCAACCGAACCCTGGAGAAAGTTTTCCCGCACCTCAGCGACAAGAATGGGAACCGATCTGGGATCTGGAAGTCACGCATTGCAAACGCGCTCTTGGGACGAAGGATTATCGCACACGGATCAACGTATTTCAAGTGGGATCCAGTCCTAGGACGAGTGTCGAGTATGACTACTCAGGCAGACCTGTTGACACCGGTACTGCGTCTGCTTGGATACGTAGAGGACGTCGCTGTCGTGTTTGAGAAGGCCATAGTTTCGCCCGATTTTCATTGGAAACAAGTTATGTAATAATGGACGCATAAATGAACATACGTTTGTAAATACAATACAATAATTATTTATTCAGTAGTTCACCCACGCTTTGCGGAATTGGACCATACAGGATTTTCAAACACATCAGGTTTCAGCGTAGAAGCCGGAGTCTATTTGGCAAATGGAGCATTGTATTAGAAGTTTATCAAAGGTCCGAGGGCAGGAAAACTGGGTGCGGTACTGTAAGATGTGAACCCGATTGTACGACTGTTGATTGCGTCATTATTCGCATCGACACATCAATGGACTGTACTAATCCCTCATACTAACCTGTGACTGATACAGTAGTCAAGAGCTCACTGCAACTCATTTCGTCACTACTAAAGTGCGCCAGGCCTTCTAAAATCACGGAGTTGAAGCCCAATTTAATTCATTAGATTTTGCAGATTTGAAGGATTGATCTTACTCTAATAGTTTATATGATATAAACATAATTGTTTGTTATGTCAGACGCTCCCACATAGAGATGCACTCCACAAAATGCATTTTTAGAAGGATTACAATTCGGTATAGCTTGCGTACCGCTGATAATAGATCATGAGTGGCTAATTTGCTGTGCTTGCTTTACCTGCACCGCGATTCACGAAACGTGAGAGAAGTGCAAACAAAAAAGCAAAACGCAAGACACCAATTCAGCCTCGAAACCTCCATCTCTCACTTTTTGATTGTATCTTTCAAATATTTGAATGCAGTTCAGGAATCCATCGAGTAGCACTATATATCCTCACATATAGAGATCCGCAAAAGTTACAGCAATTTATTCGAGGTGTGGTTCATAGTACTTCTTCGCGCTCAATACAGCACCTGCGCGTGCGAAGATAACAAATTGCCGTATTAAACGGTCAAGGAAGTCATTATCAAAACATACATTCGGCAATCTCCGAAGCGGACGTCTTCATATGCGCAGCAAAAATAACTAAATCGACACCAGTCAATTGATTTCTCTGTGGGACAAGTTTCACACTGATCAGACAGATCTCTCATTCGAGGTGGATATCCAATGCGATGTAAATTTGCAGATGCAGGAGCAAGTGAAGGTAAGTCCACATTATCTCAGGTGTTATCCATTCTGTGGCCCTTATACTGCTGTAATGCTCGTGCACAACAGCAAACACTTCGCTCCTCGAACAAGTACGGCATTCATTATTACTTTGACGCAGACGATGGCGACATGGTGGTTATGCAGCGACTTCGTGGCGACCTCGAGCAGGTATATGCAGACACTGACCTCGCATTAGTATCCACAGGCCTTGATGGAATCTCATCGCCTTGTTCGCTAACGAATTTAACACGAATCACGGACGCCGCCTCCTGTATTGACGTCCTACTCAGCCGAATCATTCCTTTCGACTGTAAGATTGTCGGAGACGCTTTCTGGTACGAAGTGACCAAAACCGGTGTTGAAAACAAAGTCGAGCCTGGAAAGGTGCGTTGGCCTCAAGGCTTTTATTTTGCCTTTTTTGCTGATGTATTTTTCATGAGTTAGCCACCTCAGAAAGAAAAAGCGACGGTAATTTTGCAATCCTTCATCATGGAAATGGAGCAAGACGGCAGCCCGGTGAAGATCCAGTTCCGCTATGCAACCAAGCGCGTTGTTGATGAACACCGCGAGGTGGTTGCTTTTTCGGGGCAAAGCCAGGTGCTGGAAGCGTTTGGGGCCGTTATCAGTGGAGTCCGCTGTCGAGAGAAGCACTGGTTCGTCCTGAGCGAGATATCCCCAGGAGTGACAATGGTGAAGGTTTGCATGAGCAGGGTCGTCAATTTTGACTGCGACCTACCCCTCTGTCAACCATTCGTCGACCGAACTATTCAAATGCTGGCGAAGCAGAAGCAGATGGGCTTCGAGGCATTGCTGGAGGATGTCGAAAGGCGATTATTTGTAGGTTGCCAGTAACAAAGGATGATAGTTAACAACAAAATCTGGAGAAGGTAATTCTGTGGCGAGCATGTTAGATTTTGGTTACGATCGTGGTAATTTGGTGCAGTAAACAGAATTTTAGTAAAAGAAACGTCGTGAATTGGGGGAATCACCTCGAAACACGCAGATTTTATCAGCAGCACTCAGCCTATACTACCAGCACTCAAAATCTATCTAACGTTATACACATAAAATGCAGATTACCTTTTAAAACCGATAACCACTCAACGTATCACTTTAATCACCAAGTATTAAATTGATGGTAGCCACGCATGTCGAGCCCATACATTTGATCTCGAAGGAGCTCACTCAACCCCCCCCCCTCCGTTTGGACCACATGCTAACCGCATCAAACTGCCAACTATGCCCCCTGTTCTTCCCTGGTCTGAGCTAGCCATCGGGCTCAAGGAGGGACGCTGACCTCCTCTTAGAGACGTTCAAGCCTTCAAAATCTCAAAAAGCGACCAAGCCCAGCGTACTGTGTGCAACGACCCCTCCTCTCATAACGTGAGGAAGCGCATCCTGCTCTGCTCGTGCCAGCTGGTCATGCCGTACGCGTGCTGCCCGTGGAGGGGCAAGCGGCTTCAGTGCGGGCGACACAATGTCGTGGACGTTTTCCAAACCGGGACCCACGTAACGGCTCGCCGTCAGCCTCGTCCGCCGAGGCTTAAACGAATTTTGCCAAGGAGATGGCTGACCAAGGTCTTAAGCCAGCTAGAATTCGCCGCGGCCTGCTGCGCAACTTTGAGCTCTGTACGAGCTCTCTGCCCTCTTTAAAGGTTGTTCAGCGGTTTGTTAATCACGAACAGGAGTTCGATGCTTTTACCTTTACGTGGAGAACCGACACTGAAGACAGACCTTATCTGGGAAAAGGTTCTGATGTGGACCCATTTCTCGTCGGAGTCACGACCAAAGCGCTTCTCCGTAAGGCAGATTGCGAACCAGTAACTTTTGTGTTGCACATTGATGTAACATTTAAGTTAACTCAAGTCGACTACCCTGTATTTGTCGTTGGCATTTCCGACCGAGTTAGGGGGTTTCATCTTCTTGCGATATTTATTTCTTCGCAAAGAAAAGAGAAGCACTTCGTGGAAGAGCTATTGGCACTTCGAAAGGTGTACACATGTGTAACGGGGAAGCAGTTTGAAGTCAGATACGCGATGGGGGTCGCGGCAGACGCTCAGTACAACGCGGTGCAACGCGTACTGGGTGTTAACAACAATCTAACTATTCTAATGTGTTTCTACCACGTTGCCGCCAAGGTGCACGAGAAGACAAAAGGGCTACAACCTGCACTTTACGCGACTGTGGCATTTGGCCTCAATGACTTACACTATGCAACAACCGAAGCCCAGTTCCATATCACCCAAGCGCGCGTGCTGGACGATTGGTCCTTACATCCAGGGCTCGCTTCCTTTAAGGCGTACTTCGCGAGAGTGTGGCTTTCAAGCCGTTTCTGCCGATGGCAGATATTCCACACGCCGCCCGCGTTTGCGACAATAAACAATCCTGTCGAGAGCTTCAATGGTGCTATTAAGCGCGACTACACTCTGCGCTCTCGGATGAAAATCATCCAAAGCGTTTGCCGTAGAACCCACTCCAACCGTCACGTTGGTCCGCCGTGCAAGTGAGATGAGGAGAGTGGGGTTGCTCTTTGAAGACACCTAAGAACGCGGGTCTATTCAGGTTTTGCTTAATGAAGCTCCTGCCGACGACGTCGGTGCTGCGAGCGCTGAGGCGGTAAATGTGGTGTCTCGGCGGGTTACCCGTATCTACGATCCTGAGACGAAACGCTCCCGTGAAGATCTTGCGTAACCGCTCAGCTCGGTCGGCACACAGCGCGAATGGAAGTCGCTGGAATACCAGCGACTGGTTGTCCTGTAAACACTCGGCAGTGGTCGTGTTCTTGTGTTTATTGGGCGAAGTATGAAGCGTGTGTGCACACATTGCTCGCAAAGCACGTCCGAGGTGTGCATGTCATGAATTCTCGATAGAAACTGGAGTACCGCGGCCCAAACTGGCGGAAGGCCGGATGCCAACAGGCTGGATGTCCAAGCAGCAACACCCCAGCGCTAGTGATAGAGTAGATACTATGTTAAAGATCAATGCTAACAATTGGTTGAAAGATGCGTTAATATCATACCTGTCATATGAAGTGCTTCGCCTAGGCGGCAACAGCATCCCGTGGGGGGCAACAGCGTTTCTGAGGGCTGCGTCTGCATCCTGAGGGCGGCAGCAACGTCTCTGTGGGCGACGTCGGCATCCTGAGGGCGGCAGCAGCGTCTCTGTTGGCGGCGATTGCGTCCTGAGCAGCGGATCTCTGAGGCCCTCTCTGAGGGCCCCTCAGTGAGAGCGGGTTCTAAATGGGCGCGAAAAATTGTGTGGCAGCAGCCACACAATCACTTTTGAAGGGTACATGTACTGTAAACTACGATGAGGCAACAGTGTGCGGACTTGACGGTGTGGCCTTGCTCTTGCCTGGGTGCTGAGCGAGTATGGTGAGTTGTGCGTGTTCTTTTGCTAGGTGTTAATAGGATTTTCCCGTGAATTGGCTTCGAAAATCATGATCATGTCCATCCAACCAAGGTTAAATCGTAAACGTGCTGAACCTATTTCGTGATTGGAAGCGTCGAGATCGAGGCCTTTGATGTTGGTGAGATGATGTCATCAACGACAACGAGGATTTTAATCAAGGCGGTAGAGTGTCTTTTTTTTTTGGTGTACCTAAACGGCATTTACCGAAACCGTAGTTCAAGTGGATTGGCGAGTGATTGCGTTATTATTCACAGGACGACTGACCAATAGACTGTACTAAACACTGGTACTAACCACGTACTCAATGTGAGGAGCACATTACACTCACGTCATCACTGATACCCCGTCCTACTTTACAATTATGACGATTGGGTGTTAACTAGTGACCTTCCTGCATCAAAAAAAGTAAACTCACGTTATCACTGACACTTTCACCACAAATCAAAGCTTCAAGGACCTCCACTGAAGTTATTTTCGGTTTCACTCTTACCGCACAAAAAACTCAGCAATGAGCCTGCATTTCGTTGACGCAGAAGAATCTGAGACTCTACAGGCGGCATTGGCCTTCATCGACGAGAACGGGAATGACTTGTTCAGTGATGAGAGCTCTTCCATTCACCTTGAATTCGACTCAAGCAATGTTAATTGGAACACCGTCACGCCGTATCCAAGCCGATCAAGACACACCAACATCAGTTTTGACAATACACCGGGCGCAACGTGTGCAGTGACCAGCTCGCAAACCAACCTACAAGTATCCAAAAGAAATCATTCGCGAGATCGACAGAGACTTGAGATCCTGCAACTGCGAGTAGAAGCGCAAGTGCTGCAGAATCGCATCGCTGACATGAAAAGGAAGCAGCAAGCTGCTGATGCTGAAGACGCAATAGTCGACGTGATGAATCCGACTT